GCATAGTAGAAGGGTGTGCTTGCTTTACTTGTATTTTCAGTTGTGGACTGTCCAAGGCATCTACAAACTGATCCCTCAGCAACAACTTAAGGAGATCGGGTGGCACATTTGGGTAGATCTTGTGTGCCATACTTTCCAAATCCTGTGCCAGCTCTTGCAGGCTCTCCACTTTAGCACGGACTCTCGTCCTAAACCTAGCCCTGTAGACTTCAGACTGATTTTGGGTTCCGTACCTGAGTTCTAAAGCCGCTACCAGTGTTCTACAGTTGTGCCTGTCATCTGCTGACAACTGTCCAAGTATTTCCAGAGGTTGGCCCTTCAAACTCGTTGCCAGATATACTGCTTTCTGCTCATCTGTCCATCCATTCATCTCTGCCAGGAGCTCAAATTGTGCTCTATATTCCTGTGGCTTCCTTCGCACTAGATCACCCCTGTTGCTGACTTTCATATCTGGGATGTGACTTCTAACAGGACTGAAGATGTCTGCATTAGGGTTTAGCTGAGGGGTCTGGAAGGGGCTTCCCGTTGTCTGAGGCTGATTAGGTCGATGGCTAATATATCCTCCTTGTGATATTATTCTTTAATGTATTTAATTCGCTTTGAAATTTACTAATGTTTTCTATTTGTGTACTCTGGCTTTCTCTCAATTGTTGGAGACTTTCTTCTTGTTTATTTTCTTTCTCTTCCATCCACTGCTGTAATCTCTCTTGTTTATTTTGCTGTTCCATCTGCCACTGTTGCAGGTTTTCTTGCAACTGCTGTAATCTCTCTTCTTGTTTATTTTGTTGTTCGAGCTGCCACTTTTGCAGGTTTTCTTGCAACTGCTGTTGTCTCTCTTCTTGTTTATTTTCTCGTTCTTCTTGTTTCTTTTGCTGTTCTTGTTTTGCTGCCATCAAATCTGCTAAGCTATAGTTTGGTTTGCCGCCTCTCGTTTCCATCTTCTTCTTTTTTTATTATCTATCCCACTTCTGACACCAATTTGGTACGTTCGTTTGTTAATTTTCCGTAGAAGTTATTTCCGAGAAACTTTAGCGATGCAAGTCCTTTTTTAAATAAAACTAGTTTATTCCCTCTCAATACAACTTTGCAAAACACTTAAACACACGCTAGAATTCACAAGGATTCATGCACTTCACTACCGCGCTTGACTCAATTGTCCGTCTCTGTCTCTGCCTGTCTGCAATTCTAATTCCGAATAATTTGTCTCACGTTATCCGGCGCACTTATATACAGGAATAGAGGGCGTCTTGCACATACTGGATTATTCGTGATGTTCCCCGATCCTTCTATAATATCATGACGTATTACCAGCTTCACGTGACTACCGCTGTCGTAACAATACATATCATTCATGTTATGATCCTGAACCGTTAATATTAGTATGTAGTAAAACAGTTGAAAAATATCTCTTCCTTTATATGTTGTAAATCTGTTCATAATGTGTAGATTCCAACTTATCCAAATATATGAAAATTTTATGTGTAATCATTATGCAACGAAATAAGGGCACACTCTTTATTTCTAATAAGCTGTTCTAATGTATTGCAGGCGTCAAAGTGTGCTGATGATATCGTTGCTAACAATACGCCTGTATTATTAGCTTTTAGTACTAACGATCCTTACATCGAAAAAGCTGTGGTCTATAGAACTGCTTGTCGATGGGGATTGAGAAAAGAAGACTTTTGGTGCTACGATGACGACGGCATATTGATAACTGAAGGTAAGCGTATACATAATAGTTTGATATGTGCATACTTTTGCAATGCGGACACCGGATTTAAAAAAAAGGTAAGATTATGGAGTTGATCTTTAGAAATATTGAGTATCGTGTTGGATTATACTAACAAAATTAAGAAAAAATCGAAAATTAACTTAATTGTATTCATCTTTATTCCAACAATGTAGCTCTACACAAAAATCATAACCAGGAAGTAATGACACCTAGTTTGGTTGATGCTCAGACTTTTATCAAAAAGTTCTATTACAAAAGACTGTCATAAAATTATTTAGCGAATATCTCTTTTATCAATATATATATATGTCTGTGTGTTAGCTACCAGTTACTTCTCAGTTTAGCTACTAATAAGGTAATAAAATTTTAGCATTAGCAAGCAAGGTTTAGAGTTAATGTATTTAGGCTAATTACCTGAGGGCCAACAATCACATATGTTTCAATTATTCTAATTTATTTTATTTTATTTTATTCGAGTTGTGATGTGAAAATTCTCACCTAGCAATAAGTAAATTTGTTAATCTAAAGAATCACTTATAGACACGCCTTAGTGGTAGTAACATTTCGCGTTTTGTTTATATTTAGTAAACTTTGTAATTTTCCTATTCCATTTTCACAGAATTTAAAGAACTAGAAGAAAAGTGGATTTCTCGATCTTAGCTGCAGTTTATTTACAAAATAAATATATTTTTATTGTTTTTTTTATATAAATATCGTAAATGTTAATGAAGTTTTAAAGCAATATTGAAATAAGAGAATGATGTTAATCTTACCGTATTTTATTCCAATAGGAAAGAATCCCTTGTCTGGCAACCATCAAAACTACATAGTAGGTCTAAGTTTCTCTCGGGGCCGCCACAGTATTTTCCTTAAGTACCAAGATATTCTCGTGGAAGCCATGATGAATATGCTGAATTATGTGACTATCCAAGATGTTTCCCGTGAAAGCCCTGAGAAATTCAAGGTTTTCACTAAGATTTGATCCAATCCTTTATAGCTTGGGTTTAAATTGTATACGAAATAACATTTTTAAGACGCCTGATTACAGTGGAATAAAAATTGTTTAAATTCTAGCAAACATAGTTTAAATTTCCATCTCACTTAATAGGTTGCTATGAATAATTGGCCTCAAAATAAAATACACTTTACTATCAAACTTAGTTTGTCGTTGTGTTTGTAAACTAATTTGTTTTTAGTATAACACTGTCATGGATTGAACGTAAATATACACTAGTCTTTTCTACAAGTCCTTTCGACGCGAATCGCGTAGCTTGCTGTGTTTAGTTTATTTGGTAGTTCGGACTTTCAGAAGAAATTGTTTGTTTGTTTGTTTGTTTTTGAATTTCGCGCAAAGCTACACGAGGGCTATCTGCGCTAGCCGTCCCTAATTTAGCAGTGTAAGACTAGAGGGAAGGTAGCTAGTCATCACCACCCACAGCCAACTCTTGGGCTACTCTTTTACCAACGAATAATGGGATTGACCGTCACATTATAACGCCCCCACGGCTGAAAGGGCGAGCATGTTTGGTGTGACGGGGATTCGAACCCGCGACCCTCAGATTGCGAGTCGAGCGCCTTAACCACCTGGCCATGGCGGGCCTTCAGAAGAAATGCACAGCTTTTTAGCTATTAACACCATTTCAAAAATTAATTTCACTAGTTTTCTATTTCTAATCTGTTAATCTGGCAAAGAACATTTTGAAATTACACGGTAACTAAAGCTTTTCATTTTAAAAATATTCTCACCTTTATAGAGCCACTGTATCCAAATTCAGGGTCGTTTAGGGAAAGCAATATAGACGGCTGCCCAGGTCAACAAGTAAGTTATCGCTGTCCCCACCCGCATTCAAAAATGTACAGCTGTCTTGAAAGTTGCGCTCTGCTGAATGTTTTCCACTTGAACAGATCACCTATAACTCGTAATATTTTTTGGACTTATATTTATTAGATATAAAGTAATTACCATTTCTAATTTTCCTATGTTTTATATATATATATTTAAGTTTTCAATACTTTACTCTTTCTTGTTACATGTGTTGTTATTGAATTTAGTATTTGTACTTCAAGAAAAAATTATAAAACAAAAATATTTGTGGTGTTGAAAGATGATCGTTATGAAGAATGTAGATTATGGTGCACACACCAAGGGGGCACAGTTTATCTACAGGGGTTTCAATAAAATAATGTTAACGACTGAAACTTGCATAGGTACTCCAGAAAGGACGTTAAATGCAAAATTGTATTATGTGATTTGAGTGTTTTCTTTGAAATCTTTCAAACGTGAGTGTGTGAGATCTGTCGATACAGTTCTTGTTCTGGTACTAGTATATTTAATATGTGAAATGCTTTATTTTAAATTTACTATTTTTTATATGATTAATATTCGAACCCAGCGACCTTCATAGCACTTTATTAGTACTCGTAAGTTCGATTGGAAATATAGGGAAAACATTGGTTTGTGAAAAATGGAGTGGTGGTGAATTTTCAAAATATCTTTGAAAGAGAGTTGATATTGTCAGTTACACATATATATTGACTGAACTGGTGACCATAAATAGAAACTCAAAGGTTTTTGAACATTGGTAATTTTCACCTGATTGGTTGAACGTAAGAAAAAAGACTGTTGAATTATATATATTTTTTATTATGCTATTGTTATTTTATTCTCAAAGAAAAACATTAATATTGGTATTTTCTGTATAATGCATGGATGCTTAAAAGTTTGAACTAGCTATTCATTCAAGATCTTCAATTTTTTTTCTTTCAATATAAAGTTAAAAAATTTCAATTTACAGTTATCGGCACTTTGTTAAAATAGAACCGCTTGAGTTATTTTTGATACTTAATTTAAACAAACTGACTCAGTCATAAATACGCTGTAGTAAAACTATTACTTTATTGAACAGCGTTCAGCAGTTTCGACTGGATCAGTGCATTATTTAAGTAATTATTCTAAACAACACTTATTTAAAACGTAATATTAAACTGTTCCTTATCTATAGTACCAATATTTTTCACCTTCGTAGAAGTTTCATACTTGAAAGACATTAATGCACTATAGAACGTACCGATAAGATTTATGCTACTATAATTGCTGTTATGTTATTATTTTGCGTCTGTATGTGGAATTTTGTTTTGTTTAAAACACAAAAGAAATACCATTACATTTTTGTTTGTTTTTCAATCTTTACTTAGTTTTTCTCAGCTTTGCAAATTATTATCACTAGCGGAAACGCCGCCATACGGGCAGTTCTTTGTGCTAGTAATTACAAATGACTCATTGAAAAAATTGAGAAAAAAAGTGAACATTTTCTCAAAAAGGATTTTTCTGGAAAATACTGCACGGGAAGAGTGTTCGGATTGTGTTGATATAAACTGTAATATTTTTATATATTAAAATCGGTACCTTTTATTGAAAAAATATCATTTTTTTAAGAACTCCATTTTTAATACTATATTTACAAATTACATCAATAAAGATATAATCAAACCCTCACATACAGTCCTTGTGAAAGTCGTGTTCTTGTTGTAAGGAGAGTACTTTCTTTAAAATTGTATTCTATTCTATTGCACATATCGTTGTTATTTTTCTAATTTTTTAAATCTTGAATACCCAAAGCGTAAATTTTTTTTATGGTATTTTTTTTTTTTGTGGTGCTATTCAATAGATGACGCCATATTGTATTTATTATTTCGGACACTTACATAGATAGATAGCTACATACACACACACACATACATATATATATATACGCTACGTCCATTATTGCAAGATGACGATTTTCAGTGGTTACTTTCTCTCTGAATTGTAGTTTATATATTTATCAAACTATTGTAGAATTCTGATAGATAATGAATTTTTCTTTCTTTTTTTTAATTTGACAGTAGGTGAAGCCACGATTAAAACATTTCAGTGACAAGGTGTGATAGGTATTTTATCATCTAGCCAATACGTTACCGCCTCCTGTTGCTTAATGCAGAAACAGAGGATTGTTTTTTTGAATTTCGCGCAAAGCTACACGAGGGCTATCTGCGCTAGCGTCCCTAATTTAGCAGAGAAAGTGGAAAGTGACGAATGAAATGATAGACTGGACTAAACGTTTCTTTCTTGCTGACATTCACAAATTTGGTGATGAGAGAACAAAGCAATTACAGTTATATTCAAACATCTTGTCCGTTTAATTATCCAGAAGAATAATTGAGTAGCATCAGTATTACATATCATTTAAATGCTTCTATAAGTATGATTCAGGACCATACGTATATCCTACAAGGGTAGGAGCAAGACCTCATGGTTGGCGTGTTGGACTGTAGGCCATTACTTTGGGTTTGAGTGTGAGTTATAAGAGTGACAATCAAATCCCATTATTTGGCCTGACAATAGTAATCTACGAGTTGGCGGTGGATGATCTTGATTGCTTACCTTCCCTCTAGACTGTCACTTCTAAATATGGCACAGCTAGTGCAGGTAGCTCTCGAGTAGCTTTGCGCAAAACAAAACAAACTTAAGACACTACTACTTTGTGTCACAGGCTGTCATAAAACAATGTCAGTCATCCCAGTCAATTCATTTTTTATGCAAATTACGCATCTGATTATCCATCACGTGGACCAAATTATATATGATGGGCCATTCAGTCTACAATTGTAAAGTTTTGTACATTTTATTATATTCCTCCTCAATATGCAATATGATCACCACCAAAAGCAAGAAGAGGAGCACCGATAATACGTATTTAAAACCGAAATGGGGATAAGATCCCGGGGTATTCTTGACCAATCCCTTAAGGTTAGAGCTATTTCAAGGATATTTTTTTCTGCCTGGGATTTAAATCTGGTGAGTGTGAAAGTCACTCCATTCGGTTAACTCGTTTTTCTTGAACGAATGTGTCGACAATTTTAGCACTATTGGGGTAGGATTATCATTCATTAGATTGAAGGTAAGGCTAAATGCACCAGAATATAGCAGAACCAAGGGTCGTCGGATGCGACTGTCTCTATATTGTGTGGCATCAATGATATTATTTGACAGGATGTAGAGGTCCACTAATACTTATACCTGACAATTTCATACATTTTGCACTGACATATGCGCCACGTTACATATGAGAATTTGGTTGGATCTGGTTCCATGCTCTCTTTGAATGAGAATGTACATGTTATCTAGCTGGAAAATAAAGCCGGACTTATCTGTAGAAAGAATATTGCTTAACATTGTAGGCGAGCTGTTTTATGCCATGTAGTGAGCGGAATGCACCTTATGGGGGTTTCCTATATGGACCGTTCTCGTGAAGTCTTGTTTCGTTTCTGATCGTTTGTACACTGACAATTCCTACAAAAAATCTAATTCAATTTAGGAGAAACCAGGGTATCCAGTGATTGCGACAATAGTAGTTATTTTACCTTTGATTTTGATAATGATTGTATAGGTCTTGAGTAAACATACAAATTGATTTCCAGATGGTTTCGCTTTCTGCTAACGATAACTTGAAACTTCTAACCAATTCTATACAGCCTGCTACGAACCAAAGGCCTCGCCGAAACTGGATATTGGTTGTATAGTGTGGTTGACACGGTATTATACCTTCTACTTTAGTTTCTTTCTGAACGTCTTATTAATATTTAATAATGTAGTCTTCTCCCGTTGACGCTTTGGTCGCTTGACCTGTTCCGGGATCACGAAGACTATCTTCTGAATAATGATCAGATTAATTCAAGAAACACAGTAATATAAATATATCAATAGCACAGTGTTAATAACCTTACCCTAATTATGGTGTGTTGTGGAATAGATAAAATTGATGAAAAAGTACATTTCATCAACTTAATCTACGACTGATTATAAGAAGCCTGGTTTCCTTAACAGAGAATTGAGGAGGATGTTGACGCTATTTTATAATAGTGATGTTGCCTTGTCATAGTAGTAGTTTTATATGCAAAGGTTTTTCTTTAATTATTATTTTGTACAGTGTACTTAAAGAGAAATACATACTAGTTTCGTGTTATTATCATGAACCATAGTTCATGATAGCGCCTTGTGGGTATTTTGTGTGAAAGAATAAATATAAAATCCTCTGTGACGTTAGGTCAGTTAGTTATTAATATGAAATCTAATCCTTTCTTTTCTGACTCGATTTTATTTATTTATATATTAACGTTCGATAAATTAACTATGTAAACAACAGAACGACAGACCAAAAAACGTTATATATAATCAAAATGGTTGGACTTATTGAAATAGGACTAGTATCCAGCATGACATTCAGCTTTGTATATTCCGATCATCAAATTAGAAATATTATTTAAACCAAAGTCAGTTTGTGATGAAACATATCAGTACAGACTGTTGTTAACTCATTAAAAACTGCAAAACAAAAACGATGCAGATATGGAGTTCAAGTAAACAGAGCATATTTTATTGTACACGCTTCTTCAGCAAAACAGAGGTTCAAATAAAATGATGTAATTCTTAATTTTCAAGAAATTAAAAACGACGAAATAAAAGAAAGAGAAAAATGTGTTATTTAAAGTTTCAAAGAAAACCATTTTTCATCGGCAATTCGGTTTTGCCAGAAGTTATTACAGACGCTTAAGACTTACATAGTGCAAGCAAGATATCATAGATTAATATTGACATACATCGTTTGTGGGAAAATAAGACCACTAGTAAACTTTGCAAAGCCAAATATTGATAAAATAAAAACTATTGTTTGTTTTAGAAACAGTGATAATCATAGCAAAATATATTTCTTTCTTAAAGCTATAATCGTCAAAAAAAGATCAAACTCTCTAATTACAAACCGAATTGAAAGAGGATATGCACTGAATTATTGCCATCTTTTCATTGGAGACCACTTTCCGAAGCCTTCGTCAAAAATATCTTCGTCAAATCCACGTGAATCAACTTCCGGGAACTTCCGTCTGTTCCTAACATCGTAGTCGATATCGAAAAAGTGTTGTAAGGATCATTGTTGCCAAAAATAACTTTTTTACCAAAGTTGACCCCAGAGCTTTGACTGACTAGAGCGTTTAAAAGAAGCTTCTTCATTTCTCTTCCGCCTTGAGAATATTTCATGAAGTTTTCTTGTATACTTTCTTTTCCTCTCTTGGCTTTTTTCCAGTTGTCATCCACACTTGACGATTTCGATCCTCAATTGTCAAAGCATTTTTATTACTCAGAAAAGCGTACCAGTATGATTCCGAAAGTGGAGGGTCATGCAACACCACCTGTCTGTTAGTTTGTTGATAAGTGATTTGAAAGACACATATAAGCCATATTCTTAATAGTGTTGATCCGCTCATACTTACTCGCTGTTTGGAATATAAAAAATACAATATGTAGCATTAGATACTAACTACTGTCTTTAATCAATACCAAATACATGATTTGAAAAATATTATTATTCTACTGATTATTATTTATTAATTTTCACGTGGTGTTGAATTTTTACCATTTTGATACTTGTTACATTCGTGCTTTAAAAAAGTTCGAATTATTTCCGTATTTACAAAAGCTAATTACAGAAAGATATCTACAGGTGAGTCAAAATATTTTACAAATACTACAAATGTTATTGTAAGAGCTAGAAACAAATTTTGACTATTTCTGATACCATACCTTGGGGAATCTGGGGAGAAAAACTCAAAAGAAAAACAATCTGCGGGTTCGAATCCCCATCCCATCAACAATTGCCCGCCCTTTCAGCCGTGTGGGCGTTATAAAGTGACGGTCAATCACACTATTCGTAGGTGAAACAGTAGCCCAAGAATTGGCAGTGGATGATGATAATTAGCTACCTTCTCCCTAGTCGTTCACTGCTAAATTAGGAATGGCTACAGCAGATAGCGTTCGTGTAGCTTTGTGTGAAATTAAAAACAAAACAT